AGTGGCACAGGAATTGACAGATTAGTGGTATAAGATAGTATCCAGAAATAGACCCAAATATACATGAGAAATGTGTATAAGAAAAAGATACAGGGCTTCCCTGCTGGCGCAGTGGTTAAGAATCCGCCTGCCAAGGCCGGGGACACAGGTTCAATCCCTGGTCCGGGAAGATCCCACATGCCACAGAGCAACTAAGTCCGTGCGCCACAACTACTGAGCCCGTGCTCTAGAGCCTGTGGGCCACAACTGCTGAGCCCGCGTGCCTAGAGCCCATGCTCCACAACAAGAGAAGCCACTGCAATGAGAAGCCCGCGCACCGCAACGAAGAGTAGCCCCCGCTCGCCGCAACTAGAGAAAGCCCGCGCACAGCAACAAAGACCCAATGCAGCCAAAAATAAAATAAATAAATTTAAAAAAACAACAAAAAAGAAAAAGGTAGAATGTCAAGATTTTGGGGGTAAAATTATTAATAAATGGAGTTGAAACATTTAACTTACTATCTAGAAAAAAATTAGATCCCTACCTCATTCCTTATACCAAAATAAATTCCAGATGGATCAAATATTTGGATGTTAAAAATAAAACCATAAAAGTAAAACAGTTGGACAATTTAGGGAAATAATCTTGGATGATGTTAGGGGCTGAATTATGTTCCCTCAAAATTCATATGTTGAAGTCCTAACCCCCAGTATCTCAGAATGTGACTGTTTTTGGAGATAGGGAAGGCAATTAAATTTAAAATAAGGTCATAGCAGTGGGCCCTAATCCGATATGACTGGTGTCCATGTAAGAAGAGATTAGGACACAGACAGGCACAGAGAGAAGACACAGGGAGAAGACAGCTGTCTAAAGCCAAGGAGAGAGGCCTCAGAAGAAACCAACCCTAACGACACCTTGATTTGGACCTCCAGCCTCCAGAACTGAGAGGAAATAAATTTCTGTTGTTTAAGCCACGCTGTCTGTGGTACTCTGTTATGGCAGGTTTTCAAACTCATACAGGTGACTAAAACCTTTCTGAGCAAGATATGAAATTCAGAAGTCATAGAAGAAATGATTGATACATTTGACTACATAATTTAAAATTCCTGCACAGAAATAAAAACAAATGACAATTAAAACCCCCCCAAAATTAAAAAGACAGCACACCAGGAAAAAATATGACACCCAAAGGGCTAATTTCCTTAATTAAAAAAAAAGAGCCCTTGATTATCAGACCTTCCTTCCCTCCTTCCCTCCTTCCTTCCCTCCCTTCTTTCTTTCTTTCTCTTTCTTTCAATAAAAGCTGAAAATCCAAAAAACATATATACGGTATTTCCTGATGGTTTCCCGTTGAATGCTAATTTCAGTTGTAAGCGCAGTACCATCCAACACTGCGTGGGGCTCCTGGCTGAGGACCTGTAGTCTAGACGCCCACCACAGGGGGCCTTGCCTTAAGCAGGTCCGCTCAAAGTGGGCCTGCGTCCTTTTAAGCTCTCACTGCCCTTGAGAGATGCAGAATTAGGGTTTCTTCCTAGTCATCCAGAATCACACACAAGCACACTCACACACACACACACGACTAATATTAACTCTCCAGTACGGTGCTCTCCGGAGCAGCCTTATAGAAGAAACCATTTCCCCATAAACAACATGATGCTTTCTGACCCAAGTGGGAATAGCCTTAGAGTTTTGGTGCAGAGCTGTGGCAGCCACTTCCTTTGTCCTCACCTTACAAGAGGCCCATCTGCCTGGGAATCATCCTCCACAGAGCTGTTGTTGATCGATGGCTACACTGAGAGCCTGAAGAGGCTTAAAAAAACCCTTCTCTGTGCTTTAAGCCAAATCGCATTCCCAGGCAGACATCTCCAGAAGGGAAAGAGGAATTGGGAGGATTTATGATCCCCAGGAACCCCCTCCCATGAGCAAGTGTGAGGTGAGGGTAGGGACAGTGCGCTGTCTGCAAGGGTGGGGAGGATGGGCTGGAAAACTTCACACTTCACGCTGTTAACTGTGGTTAATCTCGGGTAATGAGATTTGGAATGGTTTTGCTTTTCTTCTATTTAATTTTCTAAATTTTCTGCAGTGAAATTGTATTGCTTTTCTAAACAGGAGAAAAAACAATAAATGTGATAAAAACCATTTTGTATGTTAATCTTATCTTCCTAACTAGACCATATAAACTCCCTGAAAGAGAGGTCACATATTTTTCTTTTCCTCCTTCTTCTTCTTCTCCTTCTTCTTCTCTTTCTCTCTCTCTCTCTTTTTAAAATTTTTTTTTAAAAATTTATTTATTTTATTTTATTTATTTATTTTTGGCTGCTTTGGGTCTTTGTTGCTGCACACGGGCTTTCTCTAGTTGTGGCGAGTGGGGGCTACTCTTCGTTGTGGTGCACAGGCTTCTCATTGCAGTGGCTTCTCTTGTTGCAGAGCACGGGCTCTAGGCATGCGGGCTTCCATAGTTGTGGCACGTGGGCTCAGTAGTTGTGGCTCATGGGCTTAGTTGCTCTGCGGAATGTGGGATCTTCCCGGACCAGGGCTTGAACCTGTGTCCCCTGTGTTGGCAGGCGGATTCTTAACCACTGCGCCACCAGGGGAGCCCCCCTCTCTCTCTCTTTTTGATATCCTTTCCCATACCTTTGTTCAGGGCTCATGGTGTGTACTTTATAAACTCTTGCCAACAGTCATTAATTTGGAGTGTTTCCCAGACTAAAGTCACCTGGGCAGGAGAAACCTTGCCTGGGTCAGAATGACCCTGTGGAGCCGCCTGGAAAGCAGAATCTGTGGGTTGGACATGTGTTACCCTCTCCTGATCTCATAGGCACATCATCATCCCCATTGGGCACCCAGCCTCATGATGCTGTATTCCAGGGCTCGGTTACTTGGTGCTTTTTTTAAAAATGAATTTTTTTTTTTTTTTGCTGTGTTGGGTCTTCGTTGCTGCACGTGGGCTTTCTCTAGTTGAGGCGAGTGGGGGCTACTCTTCATTGCGGTGCGCAGGCTTCTCATTGCAGTGGCTTCTCTTGTTGCAGAGCACGGGCTCTAGGCATGCAGGCTTCAGTAGTTGTGGTGTGTGGGCTCAGTAGTTGTGGCGCATGGGCTTAGTTGCTCCACGGCATGTGAGATCTTCCCAGACCAGGGCTCGAACCCGTGTCCCCTGCATTGGCAGGCGGATTCTTAACCACTGTGCCACCAGGGAAGTCCCTTGGTGCTGTTTTAAACTTTAGATGGTACTTACTGGTTGACAAGAGGGTTGCCACTCACAGGTTTATTACTGGTCAGTGTGAATATCATCAACTTGAATGCTATTTTTTTTTTTTTTTTTTGCGGTACGCAGGCTTCTCACTGTTGTGGCCTCTCCCATTGCGGAGCACAGGCTCCGGACACGCAGGCTCAGCGGCATGGCCCACAGGCCCAACCGCTCCCTGGCATGTGGGATCCTCCCGGACCGGGGCACGAACCCGTGTCCCCTGCATCGGCAGGCGGACTCTCAACCACTGTGCCACCAGGGAAGCCCCTTGAATGCTATTTTATGCAAGAAGTCTTCTCTGATTTCCTCACCTAGGAGTAATCTTTCCTTCCTCTAAATTTCACCATGCATGATTTCTACCATCATGGCGTCCATCACTTTCTAAATGTATGTTGTTATTTACACACACATCTTACCTCCCCTCCCGAACCATGTGTTTCCTGAATCCGGATCCTGACTGTTTTTACACAGACAGTCCTATTTAAACCTCACAACTACCCACCACCCCATGACATAGGTGCTTTATCTCTACTTTACAAGTGAGAAACCTGAGGACCCAAGAGGTTAGCAATATCTAGTATAGTAGATTAATATCTAGTATCTAGTATAGTAGAGCTTCAATAGGTCACGCTGCTCCTAAGTGATGGAGCCTGGATTCACACTCAAGCAGTCTGACCCGAGTCCATGCTCTTCGTTCCTGGGCCTCAGCATCCCCCAGCCACGCTTCCTGCAGACGGTAGGCAGTAACAGTGCAGTAAATACTCGTTAAATGAGTTCATTAGTCCGTTATATGCAAGAAGGTTGGTCAGCTAGTAGGAGGTTCTCCCAGTTTCTGATGCCTCCTCCGACCTACAGCATTAGGACAGTTTAGACTGTAAAGGATTTAGGAGTAAAATTAGGGGTTATTGAAGGGCTAGATCTGCCTCCAGACCACTGTCAGACCAAGTCTGACCAATACGGACATAAGTTGCATTAGAATTAGCCTAGGACGCTGCTTCATAATCATACAGAAACCTAGCTAAGACTGATAACTTCCTAAAGAGGAGAGGTTACACATCTTAAAGAACTAAATTATGTAACTCTTTGAACCTTGGTGTTGTGTGTGTTTGGAGGGTGGGGGAAGAGCATATATCTTGTATGTGTAATATACATACACACATATATATACGTATACACACACACACACACACACACACACACACATATATATTATATATCTTCCAGGTTTATTGTGAGGTTTAATGAGATAATGTGAAGTGCCCAGCACAGTGCTTGGTACACAGTAGGAACTCCATACGTGTAAGCCCCTGCCCTCCACTCCACCCTCGCTTCCCACTTTGCAGCTAAGCCGAAAGAAGGCACAAAGCCAGAGGAAAGATGAATGGGTGACAGCTGGCAATAAGAGACATGTTGGTCAAATTCCACAGGAGAAATTGGCTGTGAATCAGAGGTGGTAAAGTCCACTTCCAAGACTCCAAAGAGCAGCTTTTATTCTTGCAAGAAAAGTTAGTCAGGAGAGGGACAAGTGAGAAGTCTCCTGGAAGAAAGAGGAGGTAGTTATTCCCAGCAGAGCGTGAAATTGGCTCTTGGGAGGCCTTCCCTGTAATAAGTGACTATTTTGCTGGGCAGGATTGGATTAGCTCAGGGGTATTTAGCAATCTATGTATCTCGCTGGGTCCTGGCACTTTACTGAGGAATAGGAAGATTAATTGCAGGCACCTGTCTGCTCGTCCCATGTAATATAACCAACACTGGAAGGTTCCTCTCATTCCAGAAACTGCTCAGCTTCCCGCCTCTGCGAAGTTTGCCCATCTGTCTGGAAAAAGGCAGTTCAAGCCATGTTTTTCCCAAGCAATAGAAAAAGCCAGTCTCAACAAAGCGAGAAGTTTGTCCTAAGAAGCTGGAAGTTTACTTAAGAGATATTTCAACAGCCTATGTCTTCGGTAAGTGTCCCCTGAAACAGACTCCTAGATGGAGACATGCATACAGGGTGTTGGGGTTATTTTGTTTTTGTGTTTGTGTTTTTTGGAGGTGGAGTGTATTCTTAGGAATGACACGTGTACGGCAGTAAGGGAAGCAGAATTGGGCAGAGGGAGGTGAACTTCGATACTGTGGCACCAGGGGCCTCAGCTGAGCCCGTGGAGGCTGGATAACGGTGCAGAGTTGTCCCCAGTAAAACGAGGTGTGGCCTCACATCCCCAGTGACCAGCCATTTGATGCTGGTGGCCCCAGGGAGGGGTGGAACCTTGGCCAAGGCAGCTCCCTCGCCAAGGGCCCTTCAGAGGGAGCTCAGCTGTGAACCACCAACAGCCAACACTGCAGCTGCTATAACCTGCCGTGCAGCTGTGAGCCACATTCAGAGTTCAAAATCTAGGGAAAATGTTGAACTGTCATGATGTCAGACATGACAGATTTCAGACGGACAACTGTCCTAGATTTCCTCTAGGAGCTGAGATTTGGGGAGGGGAGGAGAAAGGGCCATCGCGTGACTGTCTGTTTTCCGCAGTGGAGATGGGCCAGAGCCAGGCCTAGATGGCCTGATACAAGCCAGCTATGTCTGTGGCTTGATGGAGAAGTCTGTGTTTTTCTTCTCGACTGCAGAAATTAAGGAAGTAGAATAACTGGACTGCTACACCTGGAAACTTAACTCCATAGCCCAGAATCAGAGTAGGTACTCTACACGTCTTTTTGCATTGAATAGCATTTCACTGGTTTGGCGTTTCTGACTGAGGGATCCATTGGCTCTCTTTGCAGAAAGTGGGGGAATTTTTCTTGGAGTATACCTGCACCAGTATGCCCACCTTGACTTAATCGTATGGGCGTCTACAAGTCTTGTTCATAAAATGTGTCGAGCTCGAGGAAGAAAAGGTAAGAAGATGAGTTTATTAGACCTCGGCAAAACAAAACAAACAAAACGCCACAACCGAGCAAACAACCTCATCCACCTGTGGTTCCCTCCGTGGCTGACACTTCACATTCCCATAGCATTTTCCTTGTATATATCACTTAGCATCTATCTTTTGTTAAAGGGCTTCTTGAGTTTGTTTGTTTTTAAAGCCGTTGTTCTATCAGGTTGTAAATGCCTGGAGAGGAGGATCTGCAGACATCCTGCCTTGTCTTCTTCACAGTCAGGGATGATATTCAAGATAGTTAACACCCAGTACAAAACAGGAACCAACCAAATCCAATGGACACTGGTCTCAGCAATTTGTACAGCCATACTGGTATATACAGCTGAGTATGTTTTCTGCACACAGAAGGCTTCCAATAAATGATTGTTGGATTGAATTTCATTGGTTTGGTGTCCTGGCCCTGGCATCTAATGGCTTTCTTTCAGAATTCAGGCTACTTTTTCTTGCCAAGATATGACCATAACCATTTTTCCTCCTTGATTTAATCCTGCAAGAGTCTTTGAGTAATTGTGAAGAACTCTGTGAGTTCTTCAAACCTGCACTGTCCAATATGGTAGACACTAGCCACATATATAAGGTTGCTAGATAAAATATAGGACACCTAGTTAAATTTGAATTTCAGATAAATAAAGAATAAATTTGTAGTGTAAATGTGTCCCATGCAATATTTGGGATATACTTAAACTACAAAATTATCTGCTGCTTATCTGAAATTAATAATTAACTGAGCATCCTATATATTTATTTGCTAAATCTGGTAACCCTACACATGTGGCTATCTAAACTTAAATTAATTGAAATGTAATAAAAAGTTTTAAACTTATTTTCTCAGCCTCACTGGCCACATTTCAAGAGCTCTGTAGCCACATATGTGGCTAATGGTTCCCATCTTGAACAGCACAGATATAGAACATTTCTATCATTGCAGAAAGTTTTACTGGACACTAACTTTGCCAAGCAAACGATAGCAGGAAAGTTTTGTGTATTTTACACATAAAATATATATATATTTGGAGCCTAGAAGACCCCTTCTAACATAGCCAAGAAGCCACATTCTTCATGTTTCGGTTTGTTACTTTCACTGAATGTGCAGGATATTTGTTCCAGATAAATGAGCCTGTATGAGAGAAGCAGCTCCTGCAAACCTACGTTTTTGGACGCTGTTGTCCTGCTTTTCTCCTGGGACTACCAGGAAATGTCAGCTGTCAGATCAGAGCAAATCAAAATTTAAAGAGTCCTAAATGAAAAATAAATGTGTTGTTATTTGACTTAATAGTCTCATTATTCATAGATTTTCTTAAATTGATAAGCAGATAATATTATCACCTAGAATATTTGTTTTATAACCCAAGTCTGTGATGAACCTGGTAAACACGGCAGAAGTCTTCCCTCTCTTAATTAGCCTTTTGGGAGAAAACCTGTTTTGAATCACTGCCTGCAGCCCCGGGAGTCTTATAAGGAGCAAGAGTAGATTAAGCTCCGGGAGGGGCACATGCCGAGAGCTGATTTTTACATATGACTTGGTGAATCTCAAACAGAAACTGGCTAACATGCCAGATGGGACCAGCGTAAAAGTGACAAGACTACATCAATGTCAAGGGCAGGGATCTAAAGGATTTGACATATTAAACAGTTATACACCAAAATATTATAAAAAACAAAATTAAAGACAAATGACTTAAGTTTTAAAATTTTGCTATGTGTGTGACAGAGTTGATGCCATCTGTACGTAAGAAATTCTCACAGATCAATAAGAAAAAGACAAATGCCTCAGTAGAAAAATGACCAAATAATAGGAAAGTCACAAAATAAAAAATACAAAAGGCTAATACACCTTTAATGTCTAGAATAGTGACTGTCACATAGCGGGCACTCAGTAAATACCCACTGTCTGACTGAATGTCTACGAAAAACATTTGATTTCAGGAATAATAAAGAACTGCAAATTAAAATAACAGTGAAATAAATTGTTTTCACCGGCCAGCTTTGTAACACTGAAAAAAAAAAAAAGTACCTGGTGTTGGTAATGGTGAGGGGAAATGTACCAATTACCCACTGTGGGTGGGAGGGTAAAGTGGTATCAACTTTTCAGTGGAACAGTTGACAATATGCAAAAAGCTTTGTCTAAAACCTTTGACACAGCAATTTACAGGAAGTTATTATGAGAAAATACTTACAAATGCCCAAACCTACGTGTACAATAGTAGGGTAGGTGATATACATTTTTGATTGTTGCTTCTTGGGTCAGTCTTTTAACATACCCTCTAGGGCTTAGTGGTTGGTGCATAGACATGGGTTACATCCAAGTCAGGCCCCTCCTTCCACCGAATTATCCAAGTGGGAGATGGAAAAGGAGTTCTGTCTTTGTCCTTGGCATGCTGGCTGTCAGGGTGGGCTCTAGAGCTGACAGCGGCTGTGACCTCCACTGGAATGTGGCCAAAATATAGAAGTAGAAATGAGACAGACAGACAGAGGGAGAGAGAAAGAGAAAGTGTTCTGGTGAAACTTGAGTCAATAAATCCAGTCAGCTTTAAGGCCAGTATACTTTCTTCCTTTCTGTGGTTTTGTGAACCAGTTAATTCTACTTTTTTGCTAAATTTAGCATGAGCTTGGACTTCCACTTCCTATCAAGATGGAGTAAGAGGGGCCAAATTTACCCACCCACCAGAAACAACTAAAAATCTAGACAAAATATTTTTTTTAAATAGCCATTTTCGAGATATTGGACATCAGGCCTGATGAAATGGGGAACAAATGAGGTAAGCCCTGTGAGTGCCCAGCCTACTGCCTTGAGAGATTTTCCAGATGGTGGCATGGAAAGGTGGAATCTGGGTGGAGCCTCGAAGATTCCCTGAGGTGAGGAGCTGAAGCTAGAGTCCAGAGAGACCAAGACAGCTAGAGTTTGCAAGACAGAATACCAGATAGGAGAGAGCTACACACAGACAGAAAAATGACAACAACAAAAATCTAGAGATCTTCAGAGGGTCCCCCTCACCAGCACACGAATATGAGGAAACTGTTCGAGGTCAGGGAAAGAGCCATCTGAAAGTATTACACGAACAGTAACAAGAACTCATACAGGGCCTGAATAGTGCCTGTTCCCGCTAGCCAGATTGGAAATCTTACAATTCACAAGTCATTAGGCAAAGTACTCAGAAGAATTTTGCCTCAGTTGTGGGGCAAAATTGGCTCTCGACTAAATGCTGCCCTGGTCCTGCCTAACAAATTAAAAAAAAAAAAAAAAAAAGACTTGAAAGGATCAAATTGTTTCCAAACAACTGTGCCCCAGAACAAACTCAAGAATTGGGACTACAAAAATATCCAGCACTCAGCAAGGTAAGTTCACAGTGAATGGAATCAATGAAAATTTACTGGGCATACTGGGAAATATGACCCACAATGAGGAAAGTAAACAAACTGACTCAGAACTGATGCAGATATTAGAATTAGCAGGCAAAGACATTAAAACAGCTATTATAACTGTTCCCTAGATTCAGAGGCTCAAGGAAGGATTGACTACGTTAAGTAGAGATGTGGAAGATATTTTTAAAAGACCCCAAATCAACTTCTAGAAATAAAAACTGTAATGTCTGAGATAATGAGTATACTGGATGGGATTAACAGCAGATTATTCACAATGTTTTCAAAGCCCATCCATGTTGTAGCATGTGTTAGTACTTCATTCATTTTCATGCCCGAATTATATTCCATTGTATGGATATACCACAATTTATTTATCCATTCATTGGTTGATGGACATTTGAGTTGTTTCCACTTTTTGGCTATTATGAATAATGCTGCTATGAACATTCATGTACAATTTTTTGTTTGGACATATTTTATTTCTCTTGGGTATGTACTTTGGAGTGGAATTTTCCTAAGCTTTTTTATCCTCTTATCTCCATTTATCAAATATATAAATAGCATAATTCCAGCTGGATTTGCTGGAATTGCATGGTAATCCTGTGTTTAACCTTTTGAGGAAGTGCCAGACTGTTTTCCAAAGCAGCTGCACTGCTTTACATTCCTAACAACAGTGAAGTCCAGTGAATCTATTTTTTGTTGTTGTTGCTTGTGCTTTGGTGTCATATCTAAGAAACCATAGCCTAGCTAAAGCTCACAAAGATTCACTCCTAGGTTTTCTTCTAGGTGTTTTATAGGTTTTGCCCTTACATTTGGATCTATGATTCATTTTGAGTTAATTTTTGTGTATGGTATGAAGTACGTATTCACTTTCTTTTTTTTTGTCTGTGGCTATCCAGTTGTCCCAACACCATTTGCTGAAAAGACTATTTTTTTCCATGGAGTGGTCTTGGCATTCTTGTTGTCAACTTGTCACAAATGTGAGGGATTATTTCTAGACTCTCAATTCTATTCCATTGATCTGTTTATCTGTTTATCTGTATCCCAGTACCACCTTACCTTGATTACTGTAGCTTTGTAGTATGTTTTTGAAATCAAAAAGTGTGAGTGCTTATATTAATTCTTGATTACATTAATTGCATTAATTCTTGCTTACATTAAGCTAAAATATGTCTCCTTGTAACTTCTCCCAGTCTGCCCTTTGGAGACACCCAGTTAGTTTGTCTAGAGAATACATGTGCTTATACAGCTTTGTGTTTTAAAAATCCCAAATTCTTGGACTTCCCTGGCAGCGCAGTGGTTAAGAATCCACCTGTCAATGCAGGGGACATGGGCTCGATCCCTGGTCCGGGAAGATCCCACATGCTACGGAGCGGCTGGGCCTGTGTGCCCCAACTACTGAGCCCATGTGCCACAACTACTGAAGCCCGTGCACCTAGAGCCCGTGCTCCCCAACAGGAGAGGCCACTGCAGTGAGAGGCCTGCGCACCGCAACGAAGAGTAGCCCCCGCTCGCCTCAACGAGAGAAAGCCTACACACAGCAACAAAGACCCAATGCAGCCAAAAATAAATAAATAAATAAATAAATAAAATATATCCCAAATTCAGTGTAAGGAAAACTCTTGGATTGTCATCTGCAAATTTAGTTTCCTCTCTCAGGATTTCTGCCCTGGTTCCAGATTGCATATCTGGAACATGAAGAGAACGAAAGAGCACCCTTAGCACTCGCTATTTGCCCAGAAAGGTATACTTTCAGATAGGAAATTTCTTTCTCACCAGCAAATACGAGGGGGAAGACATCCGTAAGATCCAATGCCTTGGTCTAGCTGGACATTATACTTTGGATGTAAGAGAACCCACTGGTCTAGTTTAGTCACTGGCTGGGTGACCAGGGCCACACGCTTCCCTTTCTGTGTCTTTATTTTCCCACCTGTTTTATCCCATCCCCCTCCCTTCCTCAGAGGGAGTGTGGGAAAATGAAAATAAGGGTACGACTATGTGAAAAGCTTTTAGTTTGAAAGATACTAGGAAAATACAGGATGCTATTAGAGTGGATCTGTCGTGAACAATAACCATTAAAGACCAATGAACACATTTTAAGAATTAAAACTACAGTAAAATAACCAGGTTGAGTAAGTCATTGCATCACCTTTCAAACACAGACATGCAAACCCAGCTAGAAAACTGTTTAATCCTAAATTAAATGTGAGCATTAGGACTGCTGGCCTCGTTTAGATTCAGTCACTCAAATTGCCACTGCGAGTTCGGCGACTACTGTCAATTTTTAACTGTGCAGTGGACTCTTGTCAGGATTAAGCAGGTCAGACTTTATTCGACACAACATTGACTGTCCCTGGTGCCTTATTTTTACCTGAAAAAAAAAATAAAGAAAGGCCTTTAAAAAAAAAAACTCTGGTTAATAATAAATACTAAAAGATTACAGTGTGTTAGAAGCTGACAGGTATCGTAATATCTAAATGGATTTATTGACCTTTAAATGGAGCTTGGCTCTCATGTCTATTTGTCACGATTTCCTACTTATTTCCTTCCCCACTTTTTCCCCATTGTCAACTCTTGTTATTCTCAGTGATCACAGGAAAAAAAAAATGTTAGTTTGAGGGACTTAACCTGCCAGTCTGTGTTGTTTTTGTCACATTATCTCTCCTCCTTTACTGAAATATCTCTCTTCTTCCTTGTTCTTTTTTAGTTAAGGTATAATTGACATACAACATTATATCAGTTTCAGGTGTCCAACGTAGTGATTTGGTATTTGTATATATTTCAAAATGATCACGGAAATAAGTCGAGTTAACATCTCTTAACTGAACTGCTTCTAATCGGGCTCATTACAGAGCCTCTAACAGTAAGAATTAAAGGCTCTAATACAAGCTTGTACCGACAAACAGAATCTCATTAAGAAGTTCGTTTTGGTCCTCCCCGCAGCTCCTCAAGAGAACGCGCTGGTGATAATATCCAGTCTAATTGTGTATTTTCTACATGTGATTACAACGCAGCAGGACTATCGGACTGCATAAAGTTTGAAGTGTTCTCATGAAGTGAACTATCATTAGTATTAGTGAAGACAGAAACCAATTTTTGGAAAGGAGGAATGAATATAAAGATGAGTTAGGGCAAATTGGATGACTGGGTGAGCCACGCTGGGATGCAGAGGTAAAGAAATTGAAGCTCTATGTCCTATATTTAGTATTTAAATAATGATAATTTAAAAGATCTTTCTTAAGGGAAGTCTGTTGATGTGCTAGGCTTGGAAGAGAAGAAGGACTCTGTCATAGTGGAGTCAGCTCACATTTTTACCCTTTTCTCTATTCCCCACTGCACATAACTTCCACTCATAGACCCGGGGATAGCGACAGATCTTCCACAAGCATCTTGTATCTAGTGGTGAAATATTAGTAACAACTTAAAAGTCCCAACTGAAGTAGTGTTTAAATAAGTTTTAGTTCAGCCATGTGATGAAAGATTATGCTGTCACTTAAAATAATATTGTATATTTAAAAATTAGTGATAATTTTGATGGAAATATGATTATAGTGTTAGGTTAAAAAATAAAACATGAAGTAAAAAAAAGAAAGGAAGTAAAAAAAAGAAAGGAAGAAACGTACATAAAAGTAAAAGCTGGGGTTCCCCGGTGGCGCAGTGGTTGAGAATCTGCCTGCCAATGCAGGGGACACCAGTTCGAGCCCTGGTCTGGGAAGATCCCACATGCCGCGGAGCAACTGGGCCCGTGAGCCACAACTACTGAGCCTGCGCGTCTGGAGCCTGTGCTCCGCGACGAGAGGCCGCGATAGTGAGAGGCCCGCGCACCGCGATGAAGAGTGGCCCCCGCCTGCCGCAACTAGAGAAAGCCCTCGCACAGAAACGAAGACCCAACACAGCAAAAATAAATAAATAAATTACTAAAAACTCCTACCCCCAACATCTTCTTAAAAAAAAATGTAAAAGCATAGAAAAATATCGGAAGGAAATATATCAAAATGTTAATGAGGTTATCTCTCTGTGGTAGAATTATGAGTGGTTTTTACACATTATTTTTTTTTTTTTGCCTATCTCTATTTTGTAAATTTTCTAAAAATAAAATGTATACTCCTGGAAGAATAAAACAATGAAGGTTAGTTTTTAAAGAGTTAACAAATATAATGGTTTTCTGGCCTTTATAGAGATAAAATAATGTAATTTTTTTTTTTTTTTTTTGCAGTACGCGGGCCTCTCTCACTGTTGTGGCCTCTCCCGTTGTGGAGCACAGGCTCCGGACGCGCAAGCTCAGTGGCCATGGCTCACGGGCCCAGCCGCTCCGCGGCATGTGGGATCTTCCCGGACCGGGGCATGAACCCATGTCCCCTGCATCGGCAGGCGGACTCTCAACCACTGCGCCACCAGGGAAGCCCAAAATAATGTAATTTTTAAAGTATGTCTTTTGCTGTTTTGATGAGCAGAATTTATTATAGACCTAGTTTGTTGTGTGTGTGTATGAATGTGTGTGTGTGTGTGGTGGGAGGGTGGTGATCTTGGATAAACAGAGTTAAATTTAACGTTTTAAATTAATCACATGGTTGGCATCTGCTATGACCAGGGCCCCTTCCCAGGTATTGCAGAGGACACAGTTGTTATGAGGCACAGACCTTGTTTACAGAAGGCCTACATCAGATGTGGAAAAAAGGCTTAAACATGTGGAAAAGTCAATAACAATCCCCATAGGAAGCTGACAGGTTTTTCCAGAAGTCCTTACATGATGTTCCGTTCATGTAATTTGATGACCAGAAGATGCTTCTTGAGAGGACCTGTCCACTTGAAAACATCTTAGTCAGTCTTTTTTGGGATGTTGTCTGTCTTTAGGTAATAACCGTGTGTCACAGGAATCTGCAGAGGTAAGATTTTCTTCCCATTTATTAAAAAAATTGAACCAAAGTTTATTTGGCAATAAGATAGGGGCTAAGTCTCTACAAGGGCTTTAAATTTCTCTTTGGGCAGGGTTCAGCCTTTTGGGCCCCTTCTAATGACTACCTGTGACTATTTTTTCTAACCAAGGTCTAGCCCTTATGTCCTGATTCTTGGGTAGCTGATCCAGCACTGCAATCTGTCCTGGTTTGTTACAGGCAGAGATAAGCGATAAGATTCCCCAATCCTATTCTGTCATAGCTTAATACCTCTGTTGAAGCTCGGGGACAAGAGCTGCAGAGCTGCACGGATGGAGAGCTGACGTCAGCCTGGCAGTTGGAAAGGTCTACTGTGACAAGCTGCACTAAGCTGTGAGGCAGCACCGCCTTGTCTTTCTGTAGGGAAGCCCTGCGTTCCAGACCTAGATTCCGCACGCACATCCCTAACCTGGCTCTTATTAGCATCGTGACTTGTGTTAGTGTTTATCACCCTTATTCAAGAATTAAAATCATACTGCATATAAAATGTGAAATCAGACATGCTTCCTCTCCAGTGGTCTAGAGATTCACACAAAAGAAATTGAGAAGTATTTTAGGAGAGGGTGAAAGTAGTGGAGGGGGAAAGAAGTAATCATTTCAGGATTTTCCTAGAGAAATTATAAAGGAACTTCGCCAGAAGTCCCAAAGGGAGTAGGTTGAAGTAACTTGCCACTCTGACAAAGGAAAACCAACCGATTATGAATTCAGTTCAGCGAAGGGCCCGGCTCTGCTAGTCTCATCACTACAGCCCTAGATGGCCCGGGTTCCTCTTCCTTCATCACCTGCCCCGATTGTTTCCTTGTATTGTGTATAATTTTATGAGCTTTGTGATTAAGTTGGAGAAAAATGAGACTACTATTTAAGGACTCTTAGTATTGTCTTAAAATAATGTATACTTCTGTCTACTCGATCATTACTCAGTGTAGAACTTGGAGCTCTTTACCTAATTCTCAGCTATTCTAAGACAGCAAATTTACAATGTCTTCAATTGGTCTAAACACATACGGACATTTGGAAGATGAAATATTATTGCTGCTGTTACTGAATTTGCTGAATACTCTTTCTAGTTACAGAGTAAATCTGACTGTGGAGATTAATTAAGCAACATATGTTCAGTAAAATCATCATCTTAAGAGTCAGAAAGTTAACACTACATATAAAATTATGAATGTTAAAGTAGCACATATAATTTTCCTTGATCATAAATGACTAATTTTGGTAGAATTATATGCCATTTTAAAAATCTGCTTTATTGCAATGTAATCTATGTACAATTAAAATTCACCCATTTAAAGTGTACTGTTCAATGAGTTTTGAATGAATACAGTCACGTAACCACAACTAAAATCAAGACAGAAAACATTTCCTTCACTCAAAATGTTCCCTCAAGGGACTTCCCTGGCGGCCCAGCAGTTAAGACTCTGTGCTTCCACTGCAGGGGGCACGGGTTCCATCCCTGGTCGGGGAGCTAAGATCCAGAATGCCCCACAGTGCAGCCAAAAAGAAAAAAAAGAAAGAAAAAAAGTTCCCTCGTGCTCCTTTGCAGTCAATCCCCATCCCTCCTCCCACCCCCCCAACCCAGGAACAGATCTGTTTCTATAATTTTGCCTTTTCTAGATTGACATATAAATGAAATCTGTAGTCTTTTGTGTCTGGCTTCTTTCAGCTAGCATAATGCTCTTGAGATTCATCCATATTATTGTACATATCAGTAGTTTGTTTCTTTGTATTGTTCAGTAGCATTCCATTACATGGAAATACCACAGTTTACTTACCCATTCATTACCTTTTGACAGGTATTTGGTATAGTTCCAGTTTTTGGCTATCACGAATAAAATTACTCTGAAATGTCTTTGTGTGGACATACATTTCCATTTCTCTTGGGAAATACCTAGCAGTGGATTTGTTGGATTATATGGTAAGTGTATGTTCAACTTTATTAGAAAGTCACACTATTTTCCAAACTGGCTGTACCACTGTATTCCCATCAGCAACGTGTGATAGAACCAGGTGCTCTGCATCCTTGTCAACACTTGGTATTCTCTGTCTCCTTTAGTCATTCTAGTAAGTATGTGGTAATATTACACTGTGGTTTTAATTTTCACTACATCAATGACTAATTATGATGCAATACATCTGTTCATGTGCCTATTTGTCATCCATTTATCTTCTTTGGTAAAGTATCTGTTCAAATCTTTTGCACACTTTTTAAAAATTGCACTATTTATCTTAATGTTGAGTTGTAAGAGTTCCCTATATATTTTGTTTACAAATATTTTTCCAGATATTTGTTTTGCAATATTTATTCTGTGGCCTTTTCATTTTTATAACATTTCTTTTAAAAAACAAATTAAAAAAAATTTTTATGAAGTCCAGTTTAACAATTTTTTCTTTATGTGCATTTTGTGTCCAAAAATTCTTTGTCTAACCCAAGATCACAATGATTTTCTCCTACGTTTTCTTCTGGAAGTTTTACAGTTTTAACTCTTATATTTAAGTGTATGACCCAACTCAAGTAAAGTTTTATGTACTATATGAGGAAAGGACTTGCCACCCAATTGTTCCAGCATTATTTGTTGTAAAGGCTACCCTTTCTCCTTTGAATTACCTTGGCACCTTTGTCTATTTGTATTTTGGCACTCACTATTCTGATCAGCTGATCATTTGTCAATCTTTAAGTCAGGACCACACTGTTTTGATGACTGCAGCTTTACAGTGAGTCTTGAAATCAGGTAGTATAAGTCTTTCAACTTTGTTCTTTTTCAAAATTGTTTCTGCTATATCAGGTCCTTTTATTTCTATGTAAATTTAGAATCAGTCTGTCAATTTTTTTTTTTTTAGACTCCTCCATTATATACTGTCTTTTTTTTTTTTTTTTTGGCGGTATGCGGGCCTCTCACTGTTGTGGCCTCCGGACGCGCAGGCCCAGCGGCCATGGCTCATGGGCCCAGCCGCTCCGCGGCATGTGGGATCTTCCTGGACCGGGGCATGAACCCGTGTCCCCTGCATCAGCAGGCAGGCTCTCAACCACTGTGCCACCAGGGAAGTCCCATTATATACTGTCTTAAAGTATTACGGTGGCTGTATTTTCCTAGTCTCTTTTACACGTAGGTATTGAAAAAATCAGAGCAGTTTTCTTTTCTTTTTTGGCTGCGTTGGGTCTTAGTTGTGGCACGCGGGGTCTTTCGTTGTGGCCACGGGCTGTTTTGTGGCATGCTGGCTTCTCTCTAGTTGTGGCGCAGGCTCCAGAGCACATGGGCTCTGTAGTTTGCAGCATGCAGGCTCTCTTGTTGAGGCACATGAGCTCAGTAGTTGCGGCGTGTGGGCTTACTTGCCCCACGGCATGTGGGATCTTAGTTCCCCACCAGGGATTGAACCTGCGTCCCCTGCATTGGAAGGCAGATTCTTTACTGCTGGACCACCAGGGAAGTCCCTGTCAATTTTCATTTTTAAAAAGTCTGCTGGGATTTTGATTGAGGTTGCATTGAATCTACAGATCAATTTTGGGAGAACTGACATCTTAACACTATTGTGTGTTCTGATCGAAAACAGGATATATCTTCCCATTTATTTGTCTTTAATTTCTCTCAGTAATATTTTGTGGCTTTTAGTATATAAATCTTGTGCATAGTTTGCTAAATTTATTCCTAAGTATAGTATGTTCTTGACACTATTTTAATTAACATTAAATTTATTTATATTTTTAAAAATAAAAATTGTATATATTTTTGATGATTTGATATATATATCCATAATGAAATTATTAGTATAGTAAAGCTAATTAACATATCATCTTCTCAGATAATTACATTTTTGGATGTGATGAGTTTGCCTGAAATCTACTCTCTTAGCATATTTTCAGTGTTCAATACAGTATTATTAGGTATAGTCATCATGCCTATAATTAGATCTCTGGACTTAATCATCCTACATAACTGCAGTTTTGTACCCTTTGACCAACATCTCCTTGTTTCCCCCACTGCCACTGCCCCCCCATTCTTATTCTTTGCTTCTATGAATTCAATCATTTTTTTTCCCCCAGATTCCATATGTAAGTGAGATCATATAGTATTTGTCTTTCTCTGTGTGGCTTATTTCACTTAGCATAATGTTTTCAAGGTTCATCCATGTTGCCACAAATGGCAGGATTTTATTTTACCTCATGGCTGAATAATATTCCATTTTGTACATATACCTCATCTTCTTTATCCATTCATCCATTGATGGACACTTAGGTTGCTTCCATGTCTTGGCTACTGTAAATAATGCTACTACGAACATGGGAGTGCACATATCTTTCTGAGTTAGTGTTTTCATTTCCTTCAAATAAATACCCAGAGGTAGAACTGCTGGATCATATAGTAGTTCTATTTTTACTTTCTTGAGGAACCTCCATGCTGTGTTCCATAGTGGCTGCACTAAGTGACGTTCCCACCAACAATGCACAAGGGTCCCCTTTTCTCCACATCCTTGCCAACACTTATTTCTTGTCTTTTTGGTGACAGTCATTCTAACTGGCGTGAGGTGTTATCTCACTGAGGTTTTGACTTGCATTTCCTTGATGATTAGTGACACAGCACTTTTTCATATACCTGTTGGCCATTTAGATGTCTTCTTCTGAAAAATATCTATTCAGGTCCTTTGCTCATTCTTAAATCAGGTTATTTGTTTTTTTGCTGTCGAGTTGTATGAGTTCCTTACATATTTTAGATATTAATCCCTTATCAGCTCTATGGTTTGCAAAAATTTTCTCCCATTCTGTAGGTTGCCTTTTCATTTTTTTGATTATTTTCTTTGCATTGCGGAAGCTTCTTAGTTTGATGTAGCCCCACTTGTTTATTTTTGCTTTTGTTGCTTGTGCTTTTGGTGTCATACCCAGGAAATCACTAGTTTCATTTAGTTGTTTGTATTTTCTTGTCTTTCACTGAATTTCTTTAAGAGGATTATTCTCAATTTTGGGTCGAACCGTTCATAGATCTCCGTTACTTTGGGATCAGTCATTGGAGCTCTATTATTTTCCTGTGGTGCTAGCATGCTTACTTGATTATTTGTGATCCT